TTTTTATGAAATTAATAATTTTAATAATAAAAGTAAAAAATATTTAGAAAAAAATATACTTAATTATTTTTAAATATATTCTTATTAGTCATTTAATATTAAACAACAACTGTTATCTATTGTATAACCAAATAATTATATCTATCGAATTCGCTATCTACTATCTAGTACCCACTTTCTGTTATCCTCCATCCACTATCCACTAACCTTCATCCACTATCTACTAACCACCACCCACCACCTGCTACCCATTACCCGCTACTGTTATCCGCTATCTGCTAAATTTCAACCACTATGCCAAACAAATCCTTAATCCGTTAATGGTTTAAACCCTTACTGCTATTTACTAATTCCAAACTGTTATTTATTAATTTTAAACCGTTAAATAAAATTTTTTACGAAACATCTAGTTTGTGATGGTTTCAAAATATGTAAGTTTACCAAACACTTATATTATAGCGGTGTAGACAAAACCATTAACCATTATCTCCAACCGCTGTATCAAACAAGTCCTAAATTGAATAAAATTTAAAAATACAATGATGGATATATTATAGGAGAACCAATTGAACTGATTATACCTATATATTATATTTTAATAACTAGACCAACTAAATGTTGGCGTACGTCAAACCAAACAGTGTCAAAATCATCTTCCTTTCTTATATTTGGCGTAAAAGAAAATTTCGAACACATGACTACCTCCTTTTGAAAACTGTGTGGAATAAAAGACTTTGATTGCAAGAAAACAAAACGAGGCAATTAAGAAAGAGACCTTCGGTCGCATCCTGTAATAAATTTGAGACAAGTAGATAGAAAGTAAATAGGAAAGTTGGACACATGGTTGCTTGTTGCTACTACTCGGTATGCATTTATTCAGTTGATCGTTGTCAACAAAGATTGCAACAAGTAGATAGGAAGTGGATAAGCAAGTTGGAGACATGGTTGCTTGTTGCTACTACTCGATGAACATTTATTCAGTTGATCGTTGTCAACAAAGATTTCCAATGCATGGATCATTGCCAAACCTTTCAAGCTACTTAACACTAAACAAGGTTGTGTTTTGGATGTTGAGCTCTTCAAAATTATAAATGTTTTTAAGGAAACAAAAAGGGAAAAAAAAATACTAACTACACTCTTTTTTCACCACTCTTTGTATTTGTTATTAATTCACGTGTTAGATGATTTTTATAATAATATAAATATCTACACCTTGACTAATATTATGATAGATATTGAATAATTTTAAAATTGTAATCCTAGATGGCTACTTAAGAGGGGGTGAATTGGGTCTTATCAATTTAATCCAAAACTCGTTTATTTTTCTTTAAAAGATTAATCAAATTTTTAATTTATAAATTGTTATGTAAAATAAACAAACAGTAATTGTAATCTTACAAATAAAGTGTAGAAAAAATAAAAAGAAATGGAAGAGAATATCAAGCTGTGATTTATAGTGGTTCTTCCTATTCGGAGTACGTCCACTCTCCAAGTCTCCTTGCTCGAGAGTTCAATTCACTAGGATTCTTTTGCTTATGGATGCAAGATTAGACTAGAACAAACTCTTACTTATAGGTGCAAGATTAAACCCTCACAAGTGAATCTCAACAACTCACTCAACCCTTTCAAGGATTATCCCAACCCAAGAAGAATATAATACCCTTGTAAGCAAAAATAATTAACCCAAAAAGCTCACAAGAAGAAGAAGAAGAAGATTCAGAACTGATTTCAATTGTTCAGTCTCTGTTTTTCTCTCTATCTTTTGAGAAGTCCGTTGGGGAGAGCCATTTAGATCTGATTTTTGATGCATTTAATGGTTGGTTAGGAGATTTTGTAATTAAACCTTGTTTTGCCCTTCAAAGCCACCTAATAATTGCTCCAATCAAATTCCACCCTTTTTCTACTTTCTATAACGGACTATGATTTGTCTTTTAAAATTTTTGCTTTGAAGCCAGAAATACTGGTTCGAATTATTTTTGAAAAAACTAAAGTTATAAACTATGGGATTGGTTCAAATCAATTGGAAAAACTCTAAACAAAGAAGACAAGATCTAATTCTAATCATGGGGAAATATTAAAGTCCTTGAATTAGTTTTCTCACGCACTTAGCATCAAATAGATTAAATTCTTTAAATCATAGTTTTAAATCATCATCAAAATACAAAGAAAACCTAACAAAAATTAAATAACTTAATTCACTACATTAACTAATGATAAAAATATACTTACCACATGAACTAGTCATATAGTACACAAAGAGAAAAAACTTTCAATTTGAACTGACAAGAAAAATTGACAATCTGGTCTGGAAATTCTACTTCTACTTATTATTTAATAATGAGAGCTCATATTTCATATTAAAAAATGAAGAAGAAGAAGAAGAGAGAAAGAGAGAGAGCTAACTCATGGGTAATATAAAAAGCACTCGATGATGATAAAAATGGGATTTTCATTCTGGACGAACAATTTTCCTCACCGGATTGGAAATTCCATTTTTTAAATAAAAATTAAAGCAATGGTTTGCCAAAAAAAAACAAAAAGAGAGAAAGAATTAAAATTTAAAAAATTAATAGAATCGAAAAATAGGTCAGGCGTTATTCATAAGCTCAAGAAAAAAAAAATTGGGGAAGGCTCAAAAGGGTAACAAGCCCTCTTATACGGGCTAAGTTTGTGAAAAGGCCCAAAAAATTAACTGGGCCAGACCACATGATGAAACACTGTTTTACAGCCTGAGGTCCTGAACTTATTAATAATTATTAATAATAGAGCACGGACAGAAATATCAATTGAACTCCGAGCATAATCGTCGTCAGTCTTGCAGCTAAAGAAAACCGCTGAAACTCCGATCGGGGATCTTGAGAGTCCGAGCTAATGTCAGGGATGGAGAGATTGCAGAGGATGTTCGCCGGTGCTGGAGGCGCTTTGGGTGGCCACCCACCGCCAGATTCGCCGACTCTTGATTCATCGGAGCAGGTCTACATCTCCTCTCTTGCCCTCCTCAAAATGCTCAAGCACGGTACTTTCTCTATCTCTATCTCTCTTCTTCCTCCTTACTCCATTCCTTTGAATACATCTGAGCGTCTCTGTCCTATCGTTAATTTCTATATATTTCAGTTTTTGGTTTGTTTCATTGTTTGGGGATTTGTGTTGATTAGTAGGTTTTCACTGTTCTATGTTCCATATCTGAAAAATGGTACTAAATTCTTGGGCAAAAATGTTTTTTTTTTTCCCTTTTCCTTTTCTGGGCAATGCCAAAGCTAGGATCTGCACCCTACTTGTTCTATGTAAACATGCAACTTTTTAAAATTGGGTAGTTTTACAATTCAAATTGTACTTTCAAGCCCCATTTTGATTGAGTTAAATATTGCTTGCTTGGATGTCAGTCACAGTTTTCCTCTAATATTGACCCAAGTTCTCTTCTTTTTTTTTTCTTTCTTTTTTTGGCTTATGTTTCCACTAAAAACAATTCAATTTCAAGATGAGGATTCTGTTGATGTTTCTAGAGTTCGTTTTAAGTCTTTTGCAGTTTACAGATTTGAGGGACTCTCAGTCTCTCACTATGGTTATCTAATGGTGTTACTTCTCTTGATTGATGTAAATTGCAGGGAGGGCTGGAGTTCCTATGGAAGTGATGGGCTTGATGCTGGGAGAGTTTGTGGATGAGTACACAGTACGTGTTGTTGATGTCTTTGCGATGCCTCAGAGTGGCACTGGTGTCAGTGTTGAAGCCGTTGATCATGTTTTCCAGACTAATATGCTAGATATGCTTAAACAAACTGGAAGGTATCTTTCAATTACTTAGATGAATATTAGTCCGTTGGATGTTGTTTTGGGACCTAGACATGAACTTTTGCTTGTTCATTGGTATTTGGACTGGCTTGCCTTCTGTCTTTTATTGCAACATCTCACCTAGGACCCAATGTTTGAGAACTAGATGGTTCATGTGAATTAAAAGTTTTATTGGAAGATATTTTTTCAGTAGATATTATGTCTTCCTGGTTTATCTAACTGATTTGTTTGTCTTATGTTGCAGACCAGAAATGGTGGTTGGTTGGTACCATTCACACCCTGGATTTGGCTGTTGGCTTTCTGGTGTTGACATCAATACACAGCAGGTTGTGATAAAATTTCTTTAGACTCTCTCCACCCTCATTCGCATAAGGATCTACTCCCATTCATATTACCATGTTTAGAAAATGGCTTTGCTTCTCAGAAGCTTTCACCATATATCTTCTGCTGGTGACTGGTCTTAATCCTTCATGAAATTTAGCCTTTCAACATTTCAATATAATTATTTGCCTATTTGGTGAAAAAAAAAAAAAAAAAACATTTCAACATTATTGTTTGTCTTTAGTTATTCTTGCAAGTGAAAGTTGGACAGTCTTTTGGTAACATCTGATTTGGCTTGCAGAGTTTTGAAGCTTTGAATCAACGGGCTGTTGCAGTGGTGGTGGACCCAATTCAGAGTGTTAAAGGGAAGGTGGTGATTGATGCATTCCGATTGATCAACCCACAAACCATGATGCTTGGCCAAGAACCACGGCAAACAACATCTAACGTTGGGCATCTTAATAAGCCTTCCATTCAAGTGAGTGCTAAAAACTATATTGCCTAGGAGTCTTTATTTCTTGTCTTTCATGGCTATTGGTGTTTCCTCATGTGATTGATTTCCATTTTCAGGCATTGATCCATGGGCTGAACAGACATTATTACTCAATAGCAATTAACTACAGGAAGAATGAACTTGAGGAAAAAATGCTATTGAATTTGCATAAGAAGAAATGGACGGATGGATTGACACTTTGTCGCTTTGATACCCATTCCAAAACCAATGAACAGACTGTTCAGGTGAGTGAAGTTTTTCTGGATGTTTCATATTAGTGATAGTGTAGATATCACATAAATGTGTTTGAATTGCTGACATACCTCAACCTTGGAAAGATAAAGATATTATAAGAAAAAAAAATTTTCCCAGTTACACTAAGTCATGTGACAGAAAAATTGTTGTATGTATGGCATAATCTGTTTATGGTCAAAATTAGTACTTATGGTGTTTACTTTTACTGAATGAGGTACTTTCATTCTTATCATCTGTTTACTCTTTAGGTTGTTATTATTATAGGCTATATTTTAGTAATAGAGGTTCCTTCAGGCATTTTCAATCAGGATTTGGAGTGTGATTATGTTTTTTATAGGTAAATCATATTGCATCAAGCAAAGCCATGACATTGGTTCTTCGCTAACCCACCCCCCAACTTTGTTTGTGCAGGAGATGCTAAACTTGGCTGTCAAATACAACAAGGCGGTGCAAGAGGAAGATGAATTGCCGCCGGAGAAGCTTGCAATTGCTAATGTTGGACGACAGGATGCCAAGAAGCACCTTGAGGAGCACGTCTCAAATTTGATGTCTTCGAACATCGTTCAAACTTTGGGAACCATGCTTGACACAGTCGTGTTTTAGAGACCTAGTTTCAGCATGTTCTCAAACCTTAATTATTTGGTGCTTCAATTCTCCCCATGTGTTACACTACATGCCTTGGAGAAAACTTGTGTTAAAACCCATTTCCCGTCATCACCCACCAATTATAATTTCCTGGGTTTTTGTTGATTCTTATTTGAAATTTCCAACTGCATGTTGCAAGTACTCTTTAAATTTATTTTTCTGGATATAAGTGAGATACTGGTCTGTGGATCATCTTTTTCGTCACGTAGAAAGGATTATAATTTAGAAAATACAAATAAAGATTAGAAACGTATCACATGGGGAAGACAACAGTACTTCGCAAGTGTACACGAAGCAATACTAACGAAAAAGAAAATTTGAAGAACATAGTGAACCTACGTGTAAAGACGGGTGTCACTTCTTATTTTCCACGGTTGCGAAAGCAGCAACACAGTCACAGAACAGGAGTCTTCCCTTGATTGAAGAAAGAAGCCAACCGTTTGACCATACTCTTTGACTTTACAGAATTGGGCTCAAAGATGTGGAAGACATGATCCTCCCCTTCTGTCTCCATCAGCTCCACCGTTCCCGGCCAGTTGCTCCTCGCCAATTTCTCATGGTAAAGCTTCCCTCTGTCCTTCAATATATCCTTCTCCGCCACGATGACAAGCACCCTGTCACATGCCAAGCCGGCAAGATCAGGCGCTCCATCCACAAACGGGTTGATGAGCAGGTCATCACACCCTTTGTCGGAAGGACATACAAACAACCACCAGTTATCCACCAATCCCTTCCTGAATGAATCAGTAATCTCGGATCCAATGGGATTTGTCCCCCAAAAGTAAGGGTGGATCATACCAATACCCAGAATCTTCAGGTCCAGATCCGAATCCTTGATCTTCAAAGCCAAGTGGTGTGCAATATTAGCACCAGCACTGTCACCAGCCAGAAACACCTGCTCAAAATCCACATAATCTTTGAGCCAATCCTCCTGGCCGTCGTTGTCTCCCATGATACGGGAAGCCACCCACTGAAGTGAAGCCCAAGAGTCCTCATACGCCACTGGAAGAGGGTACTCAGGGGCTAGCCTATAATCCACAGAAAGAACCACAACCTTAGCCTCTGCCGCTAGCATGTTGAGGCTGGTGTGGTACTTAGGCTCAGCCACAGTCGCTATGCAAAAGGCTCCCCCATGAAAATACACCACCAGGGGAAGCTTCTGCTCTTTATGGACAGAGTTTGGGATGTAAACTCTAGCTGAAACGCCGGTCTCCGGTACAATCACTATGTCTTTAGACAGAACATCAGTCTCAGAATCAAGTCCTGCTGGAACCACTTCAGTTCCAGCAATCCTCTCGAGGGTTCCATCTTTGTACACCCTAAGGTAAGGAAACACATCAATCGACACCTCTGGTGTCTCTGACTCCATGTCGGAGGAAGTAAAGCGAATTAGGAAAAAGAAAGAGAGGAGAGGAAGTGTTGAAACTTGAAACACGGGTGAGCGCAACCTTTAGCTACGCTATTGAAGACATCCGGCACTACCTTTATAACAGGGACAAAGTTAAAGATTAGCGTCATTATCTTGGCGGGCACGAAAAAGCAAAAGTAAACGATGGGAACTTTTTTAATTTCATATGAAAATGCATCAAGTAAAAGATTTTCCTTAGTATTTTAATTTCATAATATGGTAAAAGATTTGTCAATAATTTAAATAAGTTAATAATAATTTTTTTAAAAAAAATAAAAAATTTTAAATTTAACTCATATAACATGCAAATAAGATAAAAAAAATTATCTCTTATCTTGTAACTAAAATATATACATATATAATGGTATAAAAAATTGATTTCTTGACTAACTTTTTAGAAACTTGTAGTTCATATTAATTGACTCTCAACAACTAACTTATACTAATTGATATGGGAAAGGAGTGCTGTTACCTGTTGATTAGCTAATAAGGGGTTAAGAAATATCATACTATCAATTTGAGCATTGAGCCGCCTCCACAAACTCTTAAAATGTGTATTCTAATGTTTGGTGGTGAGAGTAAAGGCAAAAAAACTGATTTGGTGAGGGTGATTTAGGGCAAGG